GTTTCAATTAAGATTCGACACTTGTAATTAGTAAATGATTGACACAACAATATTGGGTAACTATTCAATTTATTATGCATCAAAACTAATGAAAACAAAATGGAATAACTCATATATGTATCAAACCTTATGTGATGGCTAAGGTTAATAATGAATGTGGAGGGGAGTTTATGCCAAGGACGTGGACCTAATCTATAGGTTCAAACACAAATCATTGGATGCATGTATGTGGCACCACGATAATAGATTTGGAAGGCTCTAAGTCATCTAAAGTGTGTGTGTAAAACTCGAGCTTGAGATAGGAAAAGCTATATCAATAATGAATTTTAGGCCTTACACTCAACTTATGAGTCATCACATCCCACTCGCTTCCAAATTATGATGATACACTTACATAGCTATAACAAAGCATAATACAAAATAACACATCATAGGCAATTTGTGCATTAATTGTTAGTCTTCTTGATATCTCGAATATCATATTTTTCTGGTGACACATATATCGCATTATACATTTGGTAAACATCACTTCATAAGCCATTATAAGCTATCAACACCCTAAGCTAAATTTAAGCGACTTTAAAATTCATTGATTATAACTCAATTTATGATCGAATGATCAATGAGAATCATCTTTTAGTTGTTCCTTGTGTGCACTAATGACCTCATTTACAGAGAATTGAGCTTTGATAAGATGTACAAAATCAGCCTAAGAGCGAACTATCTCCCGCATTAGTAATGATTAAAAAGGTTCTAGGTGGAGCCCTCCAAGGAAGACTCTTCTCAGTAACTCTGGTTCCACTCCGGAATTTGACAGGCTTCGGTGGAGAATTTGCATAAGTATTGCTTGAGGAATTCCCCCTCATTCTAAGGAATTTCAATAAATGACATAAAATCATTGATAATCCTTCTAAATGCTACGAACTGTTCTACAAATAGTATGATAAGCTCATTGAAGGTGTTGATGGTGCCCTCCAATAGGAGTAGAACAATGTGAGAACTTGACCATTGAGAGTCGTAGGGAACACTTGACAGAGAAGCACATCAGAGACATGGTGAATGTGCATGATGGTTCAATAATGGTCGACGTGCTCATATGGGTTAGTTACCCCTTTTTGGGCATCGCTGTTTGTGATTTTGATGCATGATAAAATAGGGTGTTGAAAAATCGCATAGCCAAAGGAGAGAATTCTAGGAAATTACAGTGAGTGGGGAAGCGATCCCTTTTATCTAGAGGGAACTTTTCCCAAACTAGGCATCGTAGCTCATCACGGATGATATCAGCAGAAGTGACAGTAAGGCGGGGCAGTGTCAGGTGAGCTGCAAGAGACTGATGAGTGGTGCTTGTAATATCAAGAAAAGTGGCATCTCGTCTAAACACTAGAATGGTTTCATTACTGAGGGAGAGCCTGGAGACAATGGTTTGACCTTAACGATGTTTGAATTGAGCGATATTGAGCTCATTGGATTTGTTATGTTGAGACACTCGATTCGACTATGAACTCGTCGGATTCAACATTGGTTTGAC